ATTTATATAAGGCTAGTTAGTAGCGGCAGCTGATTTTCAGAGGCCAGACACACCAACTAACACCTTTCTTTTGCAGTAGCTACTTATAGCATCTTCTGAGGCTTTTTTGAAGCAGAACTAGAGAAAACGGACTGTTAAAGAAAAAAGGCAGAAGGTGGGGAGTGTTGCAGAAGTGCAGAGCACTTGGGACTGAAAGAGTTCACAGTGAAAATTCTACTCCACTGTCTTGTACAATTGTACTCTGGCAGAGGCTATAATGTGTACTAATCTATAAGAAGTATTCTTTATCTGTGGTCTAGGGGCTTTCTATGTTTGTGTGATGTTCTCCAGTCTTTCCTCTTTTGGGTGCATTAATATTAAAAGGTCCTGCCTTTTTGAGAGCAGGTGAAGATCCCTTTCTGCCTCCTTCTTATTCATCCAAACAAGAAAGCATCTTGCAAGAACATTTTTCTCTGAAAACAGACTTCAGATCAGGTATGCACTAGCTGAGATTCAGATGAGGAGCAGCGAGTAGGACATATTTTCTTCTGCAATATATAACCCCACAAGCACTGATAACAAAGATCAATAAGATCTTTCAGCATAATGGAAGTTCATATATCTCAGAGAAATAATCCTAGATATTTTCATTGGGTTTCTCGTTTATCTGAGAAGACAGTTGTTTAGATAGTAATTCACCTGCAACAATTCTGAAACACTTATGTAGTAGATGAGTTTGTTGGGACTCCATATCCCTGTTCTCCTGTTCTTTCAGGACAAATGCAATTCTTGGAGACACAGTGCCTTCCCCTTTCTTCACAGGCGCTCAAAGTTTATCCAGGAAATGAAGGAGCAAGCAGGATGGTGTGTTTGTTAGGAATAGCTAAGTGAAGGGAATAAATGTGAACATCAGCCTTCTGGCCTCTAGATCAAAGAATATTCTTGGCTGTCTTTCAGAGTGAATAATAAAATTTTAGGTAGCCATTTTGTTCTTAGAACACATTTATTCTCAGAATACAGTGGCATACACTGAGTCATATATGGAATTTCTGAGTCTTAATGAAAACATTCCTTTTGTTCTTTGTGTATAGTAATTTCTCATTCTAAAGAACACTGTTTTAAGGAAAGGTACATGTGATTAGATTTGCAAAGGCTGAGAAAGATCAGTAATTTGTATAATAAAACTTGAGGAGGCATACAGCAGATTAGGAATACTAAGAATATTTGTTCAGTGTTTCCTGTACATCAGATTTACCTGTTTCAAGCAAAATGCGTACTACTTCCACCTTTCCAAATAGGGCTGCTTCATGTAGTGCACTCCCTTTTTCTGTCTAGAAAAAAAAATAAATTATGAATTTAAAATGCAAAATAAAATACCAATGAATCCTTTGGAAAATAATATATTTAGAAAAGAAGTATTTTTCCCCCCTCTATTTTATCTACACATAAAAAAACATTGAATAGGCAAGAAAAAATACTACCATTTTTTAGATTATTCAAGATAACAACATAAATGTTGTCAGTTCTACTACAAGAAATAATACCTATATAAGAAAATATAGTAGGGCTGTAATACAACTCCCAATTAACAAGCTTGTGTTTGTCTAAAATTTCTGAAATCCTGTTACAGGCAGTGAAAACCTAGTCAATGCTGTCAGTGGAACATAGCTGTTCAGCAGTCAGTCAGTTTACATGTGGACACCTACACTTTGGTGTTGTAATCTGAAACTGAATCACACCCTAGAAGGTCAGTTCAGTTGCACAGTGCGACATGCCCTAGGATATCCCAGCTGGCCTCCAGCTGATGTCCCAGTTGACGCTTACGTTTGATCTGCATCATATCTGCCCCATACAGATGTCTTGGATACCCTGAGGCACCTCCAACAGCATTAGATGCCTATGTTTTTATCATTTAAATTCTACCTTAAATGTCTGTGAGCCTGATTTTGCTTATTTCTGTGACACAACATGCTTTGTGAATGGACATTTGCTCAAGTAAAATATACAGTACTGAAAAACAAACTACCTCTATTAACAGGCTACTTTCCTTAGTACTTTATGCTGCTGACTGTTACTGAAAAATCTGAACAGAATGCCTTTCCATATAATAGCATTAGCACTATCTTAAGCACTACTGGATCTCACTGACTCTCTTGCTCATCTTCTTTTTGGTAGTCAATTAGATCTTGAGTATGTTTTACTTGTGGGCAAATGTTACAGGTTTTACTGCTTGAATTTATTTTTTCTATATTTTATCCGAATGGACCATTGTCATGCTTGCTATGGTGGCAAGACTTTAAAGACACATGAAAAAAAAATAACTCTGAAATAAAATAGTGATTCACTATTTCTTGGTTGTATCAGAATGCATCAGTGTAACAGTGATGCAAAGACAGACTATTTAGAAATAATCGGTGATCCTGAGATGGGATGTGAGCACACAGTAAGTGTATGTATGTCCTATCAATTGAGCCTGAAAACTCTTTCTTATGTCCGTAATAGGAACACTCACTTTTTGTCTTTCTTCATACTTAGTACATGGATGTATAAAGTAGAGCATGCCCCGTGTCATTTACATCCAGCACATCAAGTATACTAACAGTATAATGGAGAGAAGTAAGTCAGTAAGAGAATACACATATGAAATACACATCCCAAAACAATTTCTAAACTTTCCATTTTCAGAAGCAATCCAGATGAACATTCACAGACTTATTCTGATCAAGAAGTTCAGTTTTACTTCGAGATGGTTTCAGAATCCTTTACTCAAACAATATCTACAGGAGCCTTCCAGTAACTGCAATTGACTTTAACACTGGATAACTCTGCAATGATATAGTGCAACCACAAAGGCACACGCAGAGCTCAAGGTGCTGCTCAGAAATTTCTGGGAATGAAAACAATTCTCAGAAAAGTCACTGATATAGGTCTGATTACTGAAAAAGGCATGACATCAATAATCTTGAAAAAGGCTTTGACACAGCCTATTATCCTCTCTGGTGTTTGTGTGGATACGGCATTTCCTTTGGATTGGTCACCTACTGACATGAATAAACCTCAAGACTATGAGGTGGACTTGGTACTGTTAACAGAGAGTTCCCTGACATCAAGGATGTGAAGTACAGCTTTGACTCTCAAAATATTTGACTTTGGAGAGACAGGTGGTGACATTCAAAAGCCATGATGGGGAGAAGTTTGGCACAGAAACCAGCCAGAGAAGAACATTAAAATAGGGGCTCAGTCACAACTGATCACTTGTTGTTTTGAGAAAAGAGGAATGTCTCTCTCATATTTGAACATGTTCACTACAGTTGAACACTGTCATATTTGAACATGCGCCAGCAATGTGTCCTTGCAGCAAAAAAGCTAATGGTATCCTTGGCTGCACTAGGAGTGTTGCCAGTAGGTTGAGGGAGGTGATCTTTTCTTCTGTTCAGCACTGGTGAGGCCACATCGGGAATAGTCTGTCCAGTTCTGGACTCCCCAGTACAAGACAGACATGGAGCTAATGAATAGAGTCACTAAGATGATTAGGAGACTGAAGCATCTCTCCTATGAGGAAAGGCTGAGAGCTGGGACTGTTTAGCATAGACAACAGAAGGCTCACGGAGGATCCCATCAAAGTGTACAAATATCTGAAGGGAGGGTGTAAAGAAAACTGAGCCAGGCTCAGTGTTCTCCAGTGACAGAAGAGGTAATGGGGAAAACCTGAAACACAGGAGGTTCCATTTGAACATAAGGAAACATTTTGCTGTGCAGGTGACTGAGCCCTGGTACAGGTTGCAGAGGAAGGTTGTAGAGTTTCAAACTTTGGAGATATTCAAAAGCTGTCTGGACACAGTCCTGGGCAACATGTTCTAGGTGACCCTGCTTGAACAGGGAGGTTGGACCAGATGACCTCCGGAGGTCTCTTCCAAGCTCAGCCATTCTCTGATTCTGTCAGGGATAATAATTAGTGATGTATACACCAACAGTGAAATCCACAGAGGTTTCACTGTTGGTGTATACATCACTAATCCACGGAGGTTTCACTGTTATAGGAAGTCCTGCTGAGGATGAACTGCAGAGATAGGAATCAGCTGCACCTTGACTAAAATTGTAGAGCTCATTCTGTATTACTATTAATAAGGAGCCTTTTTTAATGAAAAAAATGGCCATACTTCAGTGACAACAGCTACCTAGGATCCATTGCTGTGGCATGATCTGAGACTGAGAAAGATTAATGTTCCAGCATGCTGAATCAACAGCTTTGAGGACAAGAAAGAGGATCTACCCTGAGACTTCTAAGTTGAGAGGTAGAAAAGATTCTGATATAATTGTCAAAACTGGCAGCAGTCCTTTCTATTGATCATAATTCCCCACTGGAGGAAAGGCAAGTAATATTTTCCTTGATGAAAGCATACATCTCATAAATGAAATGAAAACAAACATGAGAAGAGGAAATTTCCTGTAGATGTCTAAGGCAAACAAATCTATCTGGGGGCAACTTAAGAGCCAGAAGATAATTCTGCACCAATGAACCAAAGGCACCTACATACATAATTCACAGTACTGGGAGAGGAATCCAAAGCCACATGCCAGTTTTTTTCATTTTATACTTTCTCGCTTCTTGGTCTATTCTACCGTGATATTTCCTGTCATATCTGAACACGATCCCAAAATGCTTTACAGGCATTCTGTACTGCCCTGAATTCTGAAGCAGTCTTTGCTTTTACAGCTCCAAGCTATCAGACAATGCTAATGAATGCCATATCCCAGAAATTAGATGTCTACTATAAACAGTCTGTTCAAAAGAAGAATTTGAAAGGCACACCATATAAAGAGTGGAATGATCTGTTCACTATATAGGTGATTTTCTGAGCAAGAGGGGAAATATTACCACAAAACTGAACTAAAATCAGTCTGGGAATATAGAGATTGAAAGCACACTCATAAGATGCAGATGTGTAATCCTGCATGAGATGTCATGAAGATAAATGCTGACGTAAATCTTAAAAGCCCTAGGCAAGATTTCATGGTAACAGTGAATAACTAACAAGTAAATCAGATCCCTCGACCCAAAAAAAACTGTCCAGAAGGCAGAAATGTCCTTGTTACCAGAGAGTTCAGTTACCAAACTCTATTTTAACATAGGGAAAATACTAATCCTCAGGATGAACAGGGCTAAGAGAAACTCGGGGGACTGACTGAGTAGATATTTACCTTTTTGGAAATATACATGTGGCCTACTACTTGCAGACAGAAATATCGTTGGGGGGTTCTGGTGCAACAGAGCATGTAACACAAATTGGAAGGATTAAAAAAACGTCGTTGCAAATAATTCCTATATATTATTTAAGATGTGCTAGAGTTTTTATGTATTTTTCACTTATAATGGTTCACCTATGTGCTGATATACTCTTGTCTATATGACAACAAGCTACCTTAAGATTTATAGACAATATTCACTGCTTTACTTCCTGAAGCTTTCATTGCCTTGGATCATATTTTCCTGGCAAAGTGAACACTACCATTATATTTGGAAATTCTTCTACAGTGATATTTAATGCAAAAAATGCTGGTATTTTTTCATGAACATAGCTGAAGTCTGCTTGAGTTTGCGTCAATGGATTATATATTCCCTGGCATAAGTTTTCTGCATATGAAATATAGAGAACTACAGCACAAATTGTGCTAAGTATATAATAAAACAGTCCCTGCCCCAAGTAGTTTACAGCTAAATACAAGTACAATGTCACAGCTGGACACACAAAGCAAGCAAGGATAGAAAGACAGTGTCAGTAGGAACACCAGGATACACAAATGAACTTGGCGTACAATTTGCAGGCTTACATAAAAGCATCAAGGGTTTTATTAATTAGAGATTTTTTTAACCATGCAAATATGCAAGAGCTTGTAATTAGGTCATTTGTCTAGTCCTTATTCATAGGCAGTTTACTATAGTTTTGATATGGATTTCAAACATAATCTGAAGGACGGAATGGTAGCTTTGCAAATTGATTCACGGAATATCCTCCATACACAGTGACAGCAAAAAAGAAGGGGCATAGCTCTTTGCAGAAGAACTACAGTGATAAGCAATGGAAATTGCCATCATTACTAGAACAGACAGGGAAGGCAAATAGGGAGAGATAAAAGTTGGATAAGCAGAAAGGGCCAAGTTTTTAAGGTATTTACAGTTATAAAATTACTGTTTACATGAAACACGCTGAACTGTGCAATATCTTATTTTACTGAGGGCCCAAAATCTATCACTCACCCAAAACCTGTGTATTTTTCATATGTTTCAATTTAAATGAAAACTTCAAAGCATAAAGAGATGAAGCAGATTTGTATTGCCCACTCCTAAATAATTTCAGATTGAAGGATATTGGATAGACCTGGGAAATGAATAAAATCTGTGATTAATTCAATCAAAAATTAAATGCTGTCTATTATTAGTCCAAATATTTGCTATGATGAAAAATGCTCAGGGACTACAGAAGAGAACGATAACATGGCTAAAGTAAACTTCCCATTTAAACAAACAAATATTTACAATTACTGAATGATAGCAGATAGGCTACTTCTATAATTGTCTCTCAACATTCTGAGAACTCTTTACTTCTGATAAGCTGAATTTATTTAACATGTATGAATGTGTACAATTTTATTTACCACATGGGATTATACTTTGTATACTGTTCTGTTCCAATCAGTGATGCAGAGCAATTTAATTAATACTAGAAGAGCTGAGTTCAGTTTTAAGTAACAGGCTGATATTGTATGCTCTGCTCAGTTTAATAAGCCGCCAGTAAACATCAACAAAGAATTTTGCAGAGGTTATAGAAGTAATAAGTTAACAATATGTACAGAGCCAACTTGCAAATATGCTAAGATGCTGAAAGAAAAGGAACATACATGGAGAATATGTATACGGGTGAGAAAATAAATAAATTATATTTCCTTAAGGCAAGTAGGACAAACACATAAGAAACAAGATTACCCAGTGCAAAAAATAAAATAAAACAAAATTTTAAAAATCCCCCTACCTAACAATAACTAAGAAAAATAAGAATATAAATTAAATTGGAATTCAAAAAAAAACACAAAAAACCTCCCAGAATTTTAGAGTTGATGGCAAACAGACCACCATTACTAGAAGAGTCTCTCATTTCTTATAAGAATATTGCACAAAATTTGGAGCCACTATATTTTTTAAAGACTAGTGAAGAGCTTTTGGTATGACTATAGATAGAAACGGCTTAGGAGAATTCACAGTGGTGCTAAAATTATCTAGATTACATAAGAGGAAGAACACATTTCATAAAAGCATTGTGTAATATTAAACCCTCATGTAACCATCAGTTTGTAAGTTGCCATGACAGAGACTATTTTTCTTCAATTATTCTATTTCTTAAGCATCAATTCAAGCATCAGTTTCTTTCTGACTTTTTCCTCATTCATTCGCTGGAGAAAGAAGAGAAATTACATATTCAGAAACATGTATTCAAGGGTTCCGTTATGAGTTGCTCTAGCATTAAACTTTTCTAAATTACTGTGGATGTAGTAATAGTAAAGGGCAGCTGAAACAAAAGAGGAGCTCGTATTAATCTTTGCAAGTGTATCACTTTCTAGTAAAGAAAATCAAAAGCAAATTAAATTGAAAGCATAATGGTAAGGAAATACACAAGCAGGCAAACCACAGGAAAAAAAAGTGTTTCAGTTTGAAACAGTTTGAAGCAAGTAGAAATGCTAACTCAAAAGATACTAGAGCTAATAAAAGTAGCAAAACAATTTCAACAAATTTTCATTTTGAAGGCATTTGAGAATATCCATTTTTAATCTTAAAATATGTTAATATTTTCTGGTTTATTTTGTTTGTGGTTTGTTTTTGTTTTGGTTTGTTGGTTGGTTTTTTTTTTTTTTAAACTATGTTTTCTATCCCATTTCACATCCTTAACCTCAAAAGTTGAAAAACATGACCTTGATGGAGGAACCCAGAAACAACAAAAGTACATGGAATCCAGGCGCAATTTTTCTATATAAAAAAGAAATTACATGTAGAAAGGTGTTTGTTTAAATGCACCTAAAGCATAAAACGGTTATAAAACTTAGTCAAAATTTAGGCAAAGTTCACAACCTATTGCTAAAGGATGCCTGGATGTGACTCTAAAACAGATATCATTATGCTTCTTTGTTTGGTTTATCTGAAAAAAATATATAAAGCTGAAATAACCTTAATTCAAAGCATATTATATATACCCAGACAGTAAAAAGGCTACTTTCAATCTAAAGATAAAATACACTTCAAACTCAAATACAGTACTGTCAATCAATTCAAGAGAAATCATAAAACTGAGGCAAGACTTCACACATAATAAAATCAAGTCCTCTGTAGTTAAAAGGTTTGAGCACTTTCCATTACAAAAAATTGGACATAAAATTTACTGCTGCTGTACCTTGTAACTGTTCCCATCTATGACTTTTGTTTACCCCTTTTACACCATTATAACTTACTGTACATAGAACCAGGTGCACCAAAGAGCTAACAGGTTGGAGTCAGTAGCTGCTAGAGTGTATTGCTATAGAATTTTCTTTTAGATTTGTACAAGTGTTTAGAAAGGCAGAAAATTAAAATTATTATTACTTAGTAACTTTGGGTTTAGAATGGGATAACCCTGGGAAAATGAGTTCTCAATCAAACATTGCTTCAGATGAAAAGCCGTAGCTTTAGCAAGTCAGCTTAGTATCATTAAAGCCAATGCTGTAAAAAAATGTATGTATATATACACCTACATGAACGTTTGATATGATTTGTGTATCTATACGTCTCAAGACAACCTCAGCTTTGAAGACATGTATCTTTCTTGAGTTATCTCTTTGAACACATCATTTGGGTTGTAAAAAAAAATACATCTATACTATATATCACTTTGCAGCATTTGTAACAAAGTAACTGCAACTGTACTTTAAAAGAAAAAATGTAAGAAGTTATTTCATTTGAATCATACTCCAATTATAAAGGAAACTAAGGAAAGAAAGGAAGAAAGAAAGAAAGGATGAAAGGAAGGAGGGAAAGGAATTACACACTAACTTGGCAGCTGACATCCATTCCAGCCTCCAGAAGCACCTGTACAACAGCTTTGTGGCCATTACGTGCAGCAAGATGCAAAGGAGTGTGTTTTCTTGTATTACAGTTCATCAGGTTTGGATATGCTTTGATGATCATTTTTACAACACGCAGACGTCCATAAAGTGCTGCCAGATCCAGAGGTGTTTCTAGTTTGTTGTTCCTTATTGTAGGGTCTGTTAGCTCTTCTAACAGAACAGCAACTACTTCTGAATGACCATATTGAGCTGCACAGTGCAGTGCTGTTTCATTTTCATTATTCTGTCAAAACAAAACAAAAGCTTCAGAAATTCATTTTTAATCACACAATAGAAATGCTCAGCTTCTATAAAATGCCTCCACAAGATCACTACACAGGCAGGGTTTGCACTATAATGTATGGCAATGTATGCTTCAGAGTTACTCCACTAAAATTTTAGTAACAATACATTAATACTTAATCTTTGTGGCTCTCAAGCAGATCAAGTCCTTATGTCCCCACATTGTTCTCAATCCATTCTTTACAACATGCCCCAAAAAACCTTGTCACTCATGATAGGCCAAAAGCTGTAACTCTCCCTGCTTCGACTGTTCCTGAAATCATAGTTGGGTCCTTCTCTTAGAAATGCTGACTTTTATCTTGAGTCTCTCCTCTCAGTTTAACTGGTTTTAAATCATAGCAGCTTGTTATTAGAGTAGTGAAATTACAGAGAAAAACTGTGTAATGAAAACATATCAGGCACAAGGCTAGTTTCATATATCACTATAAAAGTTACTATCAAGACAACAAGCAAAGCTTGGAAGAAGGCAAAATAACAACTATAGATATTTGAAAGACTTGGCATATCACACAAGCAGCTAGTCTTCTCAGGGCTTCAGGAAGATGTACATGTGCATTTTAAGGTATATGAGTATTTGTACCTGTGGACTGAAAAAGTTTTTGCTTTATAGAGCAACATCCCACAAGTCTTTCCCCAAACGCTATTTAATAATCTCAATAATAAATATTGAAAATAAGCAGTATCTTCTTTAATTGTTATATTCCAGTTCTGCCTGTATACTTGCCATCCCAAATAGACAAATAACTTCAGGCAGAGAGGAAGGAAATAATTTATAGAGCTCTCTGAATTCTATATGCCATCTATATTATTAATATACCTTATGTAGTCTCTATGAAGCCTTGAAATAGGCTAGACAGTACAAATTTTAAAACTATGTATGTTGAATGCCTCTTCTCATATATGATTTATAAAGTGTCGTAACAATTTTGAAAAGGGTGTCAAAGAAGAAAGCCAATGGGCTAATGTTTCATATTAAGAAATAAAAAATGAATGTAAATTCAGAAAAGATACTAGAGAAGGGTAGAAATATAATTCCAAAGAAAGAAGAAGAGAGAAATCTGAATCCATAGGCTGTATTTCTCAAGGGAAGTTCTGGGGACAGAGAACTGAAAATAGGAAAAAAAAAAAAAAGTCTCTTGAAAGACGAAAAGGGTGACAGAATGGGAGAAAAGAAGCTTTGGCCTCTTATTCAAAAGCTAGCTAGGATAAGAAAATCCATATTGCACAGTAATATCTAGAAAGGTACAAAGGAGAAAACCTTTTTTTTCTGTTTGGTGATAGTGTTTCTAATTCTATAATCAAGAATTTAATTCTCGGGTTTGTGTTTTTAACAACATTGCTGTCATTTTCATCTCATCTTGTATTTCAAAATTACTCAGATGAACCTGGAAGATAGAAGAGACAGATCAATATATCGAGATAAATTAATGTTGCAGATAAACTCCTCGGGCATCTGCAACACCTCACAAAACCCAAGAGACTCAAATGCCTGCTAAATTGCAAGACAGAAGCTGGAGAAGAGCCAGGTAGAAAGTGATAAGTTTCCATTGGCTGACATGGCTTGATGACTAGTAAGTATTTGAATCATTGTGCATTATTCAGACCACCATGTGGTCTTTCTTTATTACATAGACCATAAATTAAGGTTAAAATATGTACTATCACAATACTACCTAGCTGCAATGATCTATCCACTACCCATGATACGCTTCTTGTGCTCTAGTGACTTCTGACGTATCCTTTATACAGGACTAGGAAAAGCATATTTTATGTATAGTGGTATCCCCATAGATCACAAGCATAATTTATTTTTAGATTTTCAATATTTCATGGGCAGAACTGTATAGATGAACGGGCAATAGCAGTCTAATTTTGTGTACAATTAACACAATTAAGTATGAAAATCAGATAATTGCACATAAAATGGCCAGTTGCGGTAATTTGTGCCTGCAGTTACTGTATTTACACATCCAATGGAAATAGTTACAGAAATAAATTAGATGTATAACTATAGCCACATTCTGTGAGGTAAACAGCAAAATACACGTTTACTATACAATTGTCAAACAGACATATCTATTCAATATCTGCTTATGTTTGACTTTTTTTTCAAAGCATCTATAAATCTGAACAAAATGTTACTGTTTTCAAACTAAATCGTTAAATATTTTTGTATGCTTTGTCTCTTTGTATTTGCCAAATTAAAGCTACGTTTCAGTTAATGACAGATAAAACCGATTCAAAATTAAAAAGAATGAGGTATCACTGAAATAAAACAGAAGAATCCAACCTGGACAAACATGATAATTAACTACGCAAATGCAGTCAGAACAGGCATTGCATATATTGTGTTTTCAGAGCTGAGAGGTACTATCTAATTAAAACAATAATACAACATCCTTCCTCCTTTAACATGTAAATTAATCAACTCAATTCAGGTATAAAAGACAGAATGATTTTTAGCTTTCAAAGAGAGAATTAAAACTTGTTTAACTGCCCTCTAAATTTATCTGCTTTGACAATTGAGTACTGCTTACATAAAATAAATCACCTTGGAAGCAAGAGGTTTTACTGAGGAGAGACTAAGCAGGTTTTGACAGTCTTCCATCCTCAAATTTAGGAAAGGAGGGAATATCAGCAGATAGACACAGTTGATTCAGCATTCCCAGAGACCCCTAAGACGAAGGAAGCCATAACAGTGTATTTCCTGGACTGGAAGAAATTTTATCTTTTCTCACCCCTCATAAGAAGATGGACATGGATGTCTCAGCGCTATGACCTTCCTCCTTAAGGCATTTGTTCATAGAAGACATACAGTAACAATAAAAAAACCTCAACATACAATGATGTTTTAAGAGTTGAAGTTACATGTTTTCCTTGCTTCTAAAACTTCTGACTTGTCTCTTGTACAGATAAAGCTAACCTAGGTGTAACTCTATGGATTTTAAGGTACTGTTTGTCCTCATATCTCTAAAATAACCTACTATTTTGAAGAAATATTTGAAAGACATGAAAAAAATAATCTTGAAATTAATAATTTAACACTGTTGCCTACATTTTCAGTCCCAAATGTAAACAGTTGCTTCTGGAGTACAGAAAATTTATGCACTAACATTCATTGCAATGAGCAGTTAGCCTGCTATGAAAATACAAATGTCCGCACACAAGTTACCATTGTGTAGTTAGATCTCCAAATCTGATATCCAAGGGCTAAATAATGCATCTAGTGTCAAAGCAGATGACTAGAATGCTTTTAGAAATTTCAGATACTTCTTCATACGTCAGAAACGACAAGATAGACCCTAAGACTGAATGAGTCAAGAAAGAAAGATCTAGAAATCAGAACCAAGACAGACACACAAAATATAAGACAAGAAGAGTAGACCGGTATTATGCAAAAATAGTATAAACCAGAAGTACCTAATATTCATAAATAATAACATTTTAACCAAGTACTCATATGGCCCAATGGACCTCTTTCAGAAATAAGGAAGGTGTCTTATAACTCAGCTTTTAACCTTTTTGTAATTTTCTTCTTCGCTATTTGTTATATGGGTCTCTTCATGGGCATGGTCCTGACATTTTCTAACCTTTCTCTGAATCTGTTCTCTTCCACATACAGCCAGAACTCAGACTTCTGTTGCTGTGAACTGAATTGTGCCTTCACAGCATTGTATCTGGTCAGTATTGCAGGCTGTACTACATCAATTAGCTACCAACAACACATGCCACCACAAAATGTAGAACATATTTTAAGGTCTATTCATTAAAAGACATGTCTCCAAATATGTTATAGGGACAGTTATTGTAGCTTGGCAGTCTGATAGTGAAGAGGTACAGGAGATATCAAGAGAATGAATGGCTCTCATGAATAGTATGTAAGTCCTTGTGAAGCCACTGTTAAACAGTGGGTACTTTTAGGAGTTTATCTGCATAGTCACATAGTCCTTTATTTTTGATGAGCAAGTTTTAAATCTCCTAAAGTCTATGCAAGTACAGTACAAGCAATAACGACTGACAAGTAGTGATTTTACAGACCTTTCCAAAGAACGTCCAACTCCTTTATTACCTAAGCATTTTGATGATGAACTTCAAAAGGGAGACTTGCTAATCACTAAACCACTTCTTTGTCACATAATCCCAACGTCGAGTAAGTGAACAAGACTCTTTTTATGAAAAGATTTATGGTATTGCCTCAGTTACGAAAGCAGAATTTAAGTTAAAGGATGGAGCAATAGAAGAGTTTGAAAAAGTCTATCTATATACTCTGTATACTCAAGAACAGTCAACTAGAATGAAAGTAAAAGATACAAAAATGAGGCTTTAATTATTAAAGAATTAAATGGAGGAAAAAATAAAGAAACAGTATATCCAAAACAGAAAAAGGAATGATCTCAGGATGATCTTTATCTATTAAAACAGGAAGGCAGTTTCACAAATATAAGTTAATCATTCTGAAAAAAATAAAGAAGTTTGTCCAATTGATTCAGCAAGTCGCATGTCACTGTATTTAATTACAGTGAGAATTAAAGTGCTTTCTTGGTTGTCTAGGGCAAAGGCTCAATGCTGCCACAATAGAAACAGAGCCAAGAACGATGAGAGCTCTCGGGAACAACATTGTGGATTTATTGTCCATTCTTTTTGAGGAAGGAAATGGGTTTTTACATGGTGCACAAATTTTTACAGTTTATGTGGAAAGAATAGCTAACAACATCCTTTTTATCCCAAGTCATCAACAAACCTGTCTAATTTGAAAGCCATGAAAGAAATAAAAAGCCCATGTATTTCATTATCAAGTATTCTCTTAAACATAAAAACAAGCATTAGAAGTTAGGTAATCCTAATATTTCCAGATATATTTTCCAAACTGATTTAAAAGTCAAACATTTAAGAGACAATTAAATATTTCCTTTTTTCATTCTGCTACAACTGTAATCGTAC